CAGGGTCAAGGTGGTGGATTACATTTTTCTGTTTGGATGAAAATGTTGCAAATTGTACAGTGTTGCCAAACCAACACAATTTACCTAGCTGATTTCACAGACTTTCTAATTGTTTGACACTTCTGAGAGTTGCGGTGTTTTCTTTTTTCTTTTTTCTCGGGAAGGCTGGGGTGGCTGGTGGGTGGAGGTGGGGCCAGTGCCCTTTCTCCTCCCTCCACCCCCGCATGGCAGGCCACAGGGCTGACCTCTGAGCAGGTGTAGAATTTTCCAGACAGGCCCAGCTGGTTGGAGCCAAGAATGTTTAAGCGCATGCATTATGTCAAATACCATTTATATCAAAATACCCCTGCTTAATCTTAGGCTAATTACCTTACGATTAACACTAGTCGTCTGACCTCGGTAAACCATGTATCCCCCCTGAACATCAGAGTTCCTCATCTGTAAAATGGAGATCATTATACTTATATTTCACAGGGGTGCTGTGAGGATTAAATTATATGAAACGCTTTTTAAAGAGTATTAAGGTCTAGGGGCGCCTGGGTGGCTCAGTCGTTAAGCGTCTGCCTTCGGCTCCGGCCCTGATCCCAGGGTCCTGGGATCGAGCCCCACATCAGGCTCCCTGCTCAGCCAGAAGCCTGCTTCTCCCTCCCCCACTCCCCCTGCTTGTGTTCTCTCTCTAGCTGTGTCTCTGTCAAATAAATAAATAAATAAATAAATAAATAAATAAATAAATAAATAAATAAAATCTTTAACAACAACAACAACAACAACAAAAAAGAGTATTAAGGTCTAAACAAATGCCAGTTAATGTTCCCGCAGATCTGCTCAGCAGCAGCTTCATCGGAGTGGATGGGGGACCTTGGCTCAGCCGCGGCTTGACAGAAACGTTGGGGCCACCTGACTCCTGGGCTCTAGTGTATTCTTAACAATCAACTTCTGATCTTCAGTTTCTCAAGTAGCTTCCTTTTCTGGGGGGAATCCCCTCGCCTTTCAGTTATGTTTGAGATCACAAATCAATAATCCTGGCTTATGTGCCACATTCTTGTGAGTTGGGCTGGCTTCGTAATTTTAATTGTCCCTAGATGAACCGAGAAGAATCCAGACCCTGGACCTGAGGGTCAGTAGGAGACAGGTAATCATTCTTACCCATTTTCTTAGTACATAGTGCACTTGAGTAATATACTCTCATTAAAATATGCTTAAAAGCAGATGCATTTATGACAAGAGTGAGCAACGGAACGCTCCCGATGCTGTGGGGTGGAGAATGTGGGAGTCTTCCACAATCCTCCTGCCTGTGAGGTGGCTGTTCCTTTTGCCTAGAAGATTCTTCACTCAGACATGGAGGAGGGAAGTCATCTCCTCCAGGAGACCCTATCTCAGAGGGCTCTTTCCTCCATTCCCGCCTTTCCCTGTCTACCCGGCTCAATTCTTCCTGGCACATGCCCACCTGATTCATGTCCTATGGGCTTCTTTGGAATCTCTGCCACCAAATGTGAGCTCCAGAAGAGCTGTGACTGTTTGCTGTGGTGTTTCAGGCTTAGGATTCACAGCCTTGGGCAGCAATGGGATCCAGCTAGAACTTACAAGATTCTTTGGTTTTCACTGTATTTATTTAAAGACTTTGTATTTTTTAGAGAGAGAGAGAGTGAGCACAGGGTGGGGAGAGGCAGAGGGAGAGGGGGAGAGAATCCAAGCAGACTCTGCACCAAGTGTGGAGCCCAACATGGGGCTCGATCTCACGACCCTGAGGTCAAGACCTGAGCCAAAACCAAGAGTCAGGGGGCGCCTGGGTGGCTCAGTTGGTTAAGCGACTGCCTTCGGCTCGGGTCATGATCCTGGAGTCCCGGGATCGAGTCCCATGTCGGGCTCCCTGCTCAGCAGGGAGTCTGCTTCTCCCTCTGACCCTCTTCCCTCTCGTGCTCTCTATCTCTCATTCTCTCTCTCTCAAATAAATAGGTAAAATCCTTAAAAAAAAAACAAAAACCAAGAGTCAGATGCTTAACCCACTGTGCCATCCAGGTGCCCCTCATTGTATTTATTTATTTATTTTTTAAAGGTTTATTTATTTATTTGTTCATGAGAGACACAGAGAGAGAGAGAGAGAGAGAGAGAGAGGCAGAGGGAGAAGCAGGCTCCCAAGGAGCAGGGAGCCCAACACGGGACTCGATCCCAGCACCCTGGGATCACGACCTGAGCCGAAGGCAGACGCTTAACCATCTGAGCCACCCAGGCGCCCTGGATGGCTCAGTGATTTAAGGGGCCGACTTAAATTTAAGAATGTAAGTTATTTTTATTATTATTTTGTGAGGGAGGGGCAGAAGGAGAGGGAGACAGGGAATCTTAAGCAGGCTCCACGCCCAGCTGGACTTTCAACTCACTGAGCCACCCAAGTGCCCCAGGATATTTTAAGTTTTAAGGGAGAAATCCAAACTCAGAGAAAGGAAGGTGGGGAATGAAGGACTGAATGCAATTTGGGGCTCACCTCAGGGTGAAGATGCCAAGTTTGAGCCTTTGTCGAGGCTACTGGCCTCCGTGTCTCAGAGACTACCCCCCCCCCCCCCCCCGCCCCAGAGCATGGGATCTGATTGTGGCTATTTGCTCGGTGATTTGATCATACACTATGTTCCATTGACTACATGGGAGACAGTGTACAATCCTGGACCGAGAAATTCCCTGAAATAAAGTGAGGTGGCCGCGGTGCACCATTTTAGTGTTTTTACCTGTGAAACTTACTGCCAGTGCTTCTCCAAACCAACCTGCACACCAAATTAAGAAGCATATAAAAGAGCTTGTAACGCATCGATGCAGCCGGGCTCTGAAAATAGCAGCCCAAGCCACAAACCAGAGAACAGACCTTTGTGAACAGAGTAAAAGAAGCTGTTGTCCTGGGCTCATCTTTTGAGCCATGGATACAACTCCCCACGATTACTGAAGTAACATCTTGAGGCAAAGATAGGAATCAATTGGGAGGAAAGTAGAATTCTTAATACATTAGCTTTTCCTTTTCCTATTAAGTTTCCAAGGCCCTAATTTGCCAGCCGGAGCCCAAGAGAGTGAACTGACATGGAGGCAGGTCATGGAGTCAATGCAAAGCATAGGCTTGACAACATTAGCAGAGGCCGGGCTCAGGATGAAGCATACAGACCAGGAGACAAATCTCAGATGATGAATGGGTTTGCAGTGCAAGAGCCCACACTCTCCACGTGTGACACCCTGACCCTGGGCACCACCTTCCCCAACATGGCTTTACCCCAGTGGTTCCAGTGCACCAGTCTCAAATTAAACTGTTACTCATTTTTCAAACACCATCAAATTTCTCTCCTCAGCCAAACTACGACTACTTAGGCAGAGCAGTTGGTTTCGGAAACTTCTCCATCAGACCTGAATCTAAACCACACAACTTCCTGAGCAGCTTCACATGTGGAGCTACCTTCCCAGACAACGCAGCACTTTCCTTGCACCAAGAATATCAAGAAATCAGACCTGAAAATACAAAGTACAAACTGGTGGTTGCCAGAGGGGAAGGACAAAATGGGTGAAGGGGACTGGGAGCTACAGGCTTCCAGCGATGGAATGAAGAAGTCACAGGGATGAAAGGCACCACACTGGGAATACAGGCCATGGGACTAGATTAGTGTGTGGTGACCAGCGTAGCTCTGCGTGCAGGGAACACAGCGTAACGTGGAGCTGTTCAATCACTACGTTGTACAACTGGAACTAACGTAACGTTGTGTGTTGACTCTATTTCAAAAAAAAAAAAAAGATAAAAAACAAAAACAAAAACGAATACCAAGAGATACTGTTGGGAGTCAGACCCATAGTCCAGACAGTCTGTTTCTGAGGGGCACCAAAGTCCTACTTTCATCTACCCTGACCATGTTTAATGGTCCTCTGACCATTATTAGTGATTCCAAGGCTAAAAAATTATGCCCAGTCCCTTACGGAGTTTGACGTAGCTTGACAGATTAAAAAGTCAAAGAGCAAGGGAAGAGAGCGTAGCAGATGACCGAGAAGATCAAGGAGAGCAGCAGGAAGCAAGAGGCTCATTTCTTACACTTAACGCCCAAAGCTCCAGCCAGGTGGCCCGAAGATGGAGTAAAGTCTCTTCCTGTTACTTTGAAATGCCTCAGAGATGCCAAAGGAAGGTCTTTAGTGGATCATTTAATAGATCTGTTCTTCCTTCCAAAAGATACATGAAATACCATTCCAGTGACTCAATCTTTTAGTCTTAGGTAGATTCCGTATAATGAAAGAGATGGGGAGCTCCCTCCCTTCCATCCTTTACAACTCACTAATGAAGCTAAGCAAGGTGGATATTAGTGCAAGGGTGGAAAGGTGGTGTGTGTGGGGGGCTGTTGGACCCAGGGCAGGGTGAGGAGGTGTCCGTGCGAGGCAGGGAGCTGTGGCGATAGTAACTTGGAGTGGGGTGTCAGGGCCTGAGAGGTGAGGCAGCCCTCCACGTGTGAGTCGTGGCAAAAGGAGGAATGTTATATATGAGGGCACTGCACTGGCCCAATGTATTGAGGGTCGCGGGAGTTTGGGATTGTTGGAAGAAGAATCTAGAAGTACAGAGAAGAGTAACAACTAGAAGAAATCCTGTGGTGTGATGCATTGAAGGCATTAATCTGAACGGATGGTTTTCAGTATGTTTAAGTATAGAAATACAGATGCAAGTATGCGTGCGTGTACATACGTGCAAATATCCCTGAGCTCTGCCCACTGAGGGGGGTTGGGAACAGCAACACCCCAAAAGCAATGAGCACACTTAGCTTGGTTTCTAAACACCTTTCTGCATTAAAAAAACCCAGAACTCCTTGGGAGAAATTCAGACTGGGGCAGAGAAATGGGAAGATGAGCCTGGAACTTGTGCTTGAAGTGCTCAAAGAACATCGGGGAGTCACAAGGTCACAGCTCTGAAGGGGCCCCCACTGGCCAAATCTGGGGTAACATGAGTACCAAAAGAATGATAGTATATATAATGATCATTTAATAAGACAGAAATCTGAGTCCATATTAAGGAACAGAAAAAAGAAAGCTTTCATAGTAGCAACTTGGAATAAAATCTGGCATGCCTGAGGTTGCTGGGGGAGAGAGGATGTCTGTTTTCCTTCGTCTTCCTTTGGCTGCCCACACGCACTTCAATCCCTTCTGCATAGACTCTGTCCCCTCCCCTGACCTAAGCCAGAGACACTGATGTGCAGCAGGTTTCTTTAGTCAATTATGACCTTCCCACCAACAGGGAAAACTATATCCACATAATCGGTTGTGGGGGATGATTCGGCCATAAGGGTGTGGCTATTAACATGGTGACAGAAGCCAAGAGGATTCTGAGACATCAAGACCTTCTACAACACCTCCATTGAGGAGACACCCCCCGATGTTGCTAACCTCATCTGCAGGGCTGTTCTGCTACCTAGCCCTACCCCGGGTTCAGTCTGGGGGCGGGCTGAAGAGGAGCAGGGGCGGGGAGGGAAGGGAGCCAAGGGATGGACATCTTGTCATTTTGTTTTCCTTTGAATAAATGTCACTTTTTGAGGCAAAAAAAAAAAATGAAAAAATGAAAAAAAAAAAAGCTTTCCTTAAAAAATGCCAACCAATAAATGTAGAAAGAATGGCAGGATTAGGAGACATTCACAGGCTACCATCATAGTAGCAATTCAGCCAAGAAACTGCAACACAGATTCCAAACTAGTTTGATGAGGAATGGGTTATTTACCCGATTTCAAAGCACAACCCCACAAGATGCTTATTAGTAACTTTTCAGTGGAGAAACCCAGCAGATACCACCTCCATTAAGTCGTCAAGGTTAACATCACCACTAACAGGGTGATTCAAAATCATGTTATCCCGATAGGATGCGATGGGAAGAGCACAGCATTACTTGATATTCCTGCCAGAAATGTATAACCTGGAATCCAACAGTAAGCATCAACAAATCCAAATTGAGGGACAGTCTGCAAAACAGCCGTAATCTTCAAATGTCAAGGTCATTAAAACAAACCTGGATTGTTCCAGACTACAGGAGATGGAGACAGGACTACTAAGTGCAACTTTTTTCTGCTGATAGAAGATATTATTGGGGTCACTGGGAAAATTTAGTTATCTGTGGATGGTAGTATTTTCAGGTTAATTTTTAGTTCTGATGGATTTGGTGATATAGAACAGCTTCAGTTATAGGAATTATGCATTTGCAGGAGTGTTGGGACATCACCTTGCAACCTATTCTTAAAAAGTATTCAGAAAAAAATGGACTATTCTTGCAATATTCTTGGTAATTGGTACTTTCCTTTAAATTTGAAATTATTAGGGGCACCTGGGCAGCTCAGTCAATTAAGCATCTGACTCTTGATTTCGACTCCAGTCATGATCTCAGGGTTGTAAGATCCAGCCCCACATGGGGCTCTGAGCTCAGCAGGGAGTCTGCTTGAGATTCTCTCTCCCTGCCCCTCCCCTAGCCCCCTCACCCCTGTTCTCTCTCAATTCTTAAAGTTCTCTCAATTTCTTTTGTGTCAAACATTTAAGGGTACAATAAAAAAAGAAAATGAAACAATTTTGCTAAAAAGTCAAGATCCTTTTAATTTTTTAGAAAGAGGTTACTTAGAGGGAAAACAGTGCTTAAAATTGCACAGAACTGAGGTTAAGTGGAGACCATGACCAAATAAATACACAACAAGGACTCGTTTTGATGCTCCTTAAAGCAGTGTTTTTGAATCAGGTAAACATTCAAAGAAAGGTGATTCTTCTTGATGTGCTTCTTGCTGAACAAAATTTGTATTCACCTTTGTATGTATCAACTGCCTAGCCTAGGTATTTGAACTCTGAAATAATTTAATGCAACTCAAATGACACTTTAATATATAATACTTTCTTGATTTCTTCAATTCATATATAATAAATTCTTGATGTCTTTAAATTCATGATTCCCATGACCATTTCAGTTATGATAAATTACAAAGTGGCAAGAAAGATTCTTTGAGATCTCAAAGAAAGAAAGAAACCAGAGGATGGGGTGCCTAGGTGGTTCAGTTGGTTAAGCGTCCAACTCTTGAACTCAGTTGAGGTCTTAATCTCAGGGTCATTGAGTTCAAGCCCGGCACTGGGCTCCATGCTGGGCATGGAGCCTACTTAAAAAAAAAAACAAAAAACAAAACAAACTTGAGGAAAGTATATATTAAAGGCCTTCACAAATATGAAGGACAATTATTAAAATCTTGATAAAAAGCAATCTGTCCTAGGTTCAAGGTACAAGTCTGAATCCTTGAACTTTCCAAGATCAAGACACCATTTGCATATGTTCTTTTTTAAAAAACTCCAATGAACTCCTATCCCATCAGGAGCAGGTGCCTCTCAGCCAGCACCAGACAGAGGAGGCTTGCGATATTTGCATTGAATCCAAACCCGGTACATTGTCAGCTGTTTCCCCCGGTTCACTTGCAATCGGCGATCCACCAGGTTTTGAACCTTTTCCAGTCCAGCAGTAGTGAAAAGCGTATCCATCTCCTCTGGTTTGGAAAAGAGACGTTTATATATTTTCCGCTGAGGAAAAAACATTATCTACCACTTCCTATGTTTAGTGGGGCTCCGTGAGACTGTTTTTATTTATATATTTTAAATGGCTTGAGCCGCGCTGTTTATTTATAAGTGCAGTAGCAGTTTGGTAACAGCAAGTTCACATTTAAATGGGGGAAGCCGAACTGTCTGGGAAGGGCAGGATGGTATCCCGAGGGAGACCCAAAGAGTTGGCTGACGGGGAGGAATTTTCAAGAAGGGCTTTACGGACACCTTAAGATTACATGCAAAAATCTACATAAATGTAATGTCAAAGCCACTTTTTTAGGGGAGAGATTCCTCCATTTTCACCAGAGGCTCAAAAAAGTATGTGACAGAATAAAGGGTCCGGGAATGGCAGTGGGCACATGGGCAGGGCCGGCCGCAGAGGAGAGCCATTCTGGGTTACAGCTGGAGCCAGGGAGCACGGGCCTGGCTCCGGGGCCCCTAGGGGGTGACCCAGCCTGCAGGGTGACGCCAGTTGCACTGAAGTCCCGCAAAATGGGGCAGGTCTCCTGTTTTGGACAAAGGGATTGGGAGGAAGAGCAGACCGCAGGAGGGCCATGCAGAGGGCTGAAGGCTCCTGTTAAGCGGAGCCTGTTTGCAGAACAGCGAACGGGTTCCGGGCAGCCGAGCGCAGGGTGGCGAAGGCTGCCATGGGTGGGAGGGCCCAACAGTCTTACTTCTGAGAGTACACGGAGCAATGTCTGAGCTGGTGTTTGGGGGACTACTGGCGTACGCAAAGATGAACGTTTTCATACCTTGTGTGAAGAAGTAAACTCTAGTACCGTCACCTCTCACGTAGAAATTTTCAGACAGACACTGACCTGTGGAGCGATGTGATAAAATCAGAGAAACTTTAAAGCACTTCTTTGAATTTCACTGCCAATCAAATGTGCATCGTGATACCGATTTCTTGGGCAGAGAACAGAAGCCTTGGTTACTCTGGGCACCTTGCAGGAATCGGCAGTTTCGCTGCTATGAAGGAACAGTGCTTTGGAATGAGCAGTGCCGGGGGCGCCATCAACCACAGTGTTCAATCACACGGGCGATCCTCAGCCCTCTGTTCTAGAGCTGTTTCCTGTTGCAAACAGTGTTTCCCTCCTCCCTCATTCAATAAATACCACATACTCTTTGTAAAACAAAAATAAATAAACAAAAGCCAGGGACCATAGCTACGTTGAAGGGAGGGAAACCTGAGCCACTGGGACCATTTCCCACGTCTCGCCACGTGTCCACACACACTCATAAATACAACCCGCGTGCTGTTTTTATCATGCATGCTCTCCCCTCAGCTGCCAAGCCCTCTGACCTAATGTCAATTTATCAACCTGGTAGGTGATCCTGCACCTTTGGAATGTCAATATAATCTTACTTGCTTTACTTTGCTTATTTCTCCCCAGCCACTCCTGTATGTGCGATCAAGTTTAAAACAGTCACCTGCACACTTGCTTTTCTCATCTGGGAACGCAGAACGGAAACCCCGCCAGGACCGCCGGTCTGGGGCCCACCTCATGCGGCAGGCACAATGCTCCCCTCCCCAGAGGCATTCACTTTGTTTCGAAGCTTTTGCCTACACACACATTACATGCTAGTTCTTGAGTAGTTCCCCAAAGGACTGTTAGACTGAGTAGATAACACCACTGTGCTTAAAAAAAAAAAAACAAAACCCAAAAACCCAAACACCATTAACAAGTTGTTATTTCTACCAGTAATGGAGAAGTGGATCTCCTTCTTTGAAATGGCCAGCGGTAGGTTTAAGAAGTAGTTCTCTCACTATAGTTTTGTTACCTTGAAGTTTGTTTTTGGCCATTTGGATTTGCCCTTCTGTGAATCAACTCTAAAATTTTCCTTCCCTGTTTTTTGGGTGGGTTGCTGATCTCCTTATCAATTTGCCAACAGGCCCTTGAAAAGCAGAGATAATAATTGAGTCTTTATCTGTTCTAGGCACTGAAATTATTTGTCTTTCAATTTTTTAATGGCATCTTTTGCCATGCCACATTTAAAATTCCTTATGTAATCAAATCTTTTCCCCAAGGTAGCTATTCTAAAAGTAGCTGTCTTGGTTAAAAGATCTCCCAAATACCTAGATTATACAAATCTTCAAAAACATACCGTTCTTGTCATGTGTTAAGTAACTTTATATATGGAGCTATAATTCTAGAGTTTCTATTTGATTTCACTGACTTCTAGGTCTATTCTGATGGCAAAACTGTTGCTTTGGTAATAGTAGCAAAATACCTTTTTTAAACCGAAGCTGAGCCATGTCGTAGCGGCCATAATCTCGCAGAAGCATCATCCCTCCGGGCTTTAGAAGCCTGCTCAGCCTGTTGATAGCTTTCTGCATCCTGCGGGGCAACACAGAATGAAGATCAGGTCTCCTTAAGGACAGGATTCCTTTTCCTTATAGCATGCCCGGAAAAGCCAGTGGACTTCCTAACCTTGACACACGAACCCTGACATCTCGGCTCCTCTGCTCTTGCTTCAGTGAGAATGGGAGCACACACCCAAGCTTCTCAGGTGCTTCTGCTGTCTGCTCATGACCGTGTCTTTGACCCACTCCCTTCACCAGGAAGAGGCCTGAGGA